CTTTCTGTGAGGAATGCTTAGCAACCCGTTGCAGAGGGTGGACAGGGACCAAAGTATAGAATCGCGTGATGGGGAGCAGTACGATAGTGTGTATGAAATTGTATGGTGAGTGCTTGTACCTCCATCGCCACAGTTGAAAACCAAGACCTGTCAGCTGATGTGGCTCTGGTAATTGTGATTTACAGACGTTCTTTTTGTCTCCTTGTTCAAAAGAAGGACTTTCTGGTCAAAAACCCGTATAGTAGTAGAATTGAAGGCGGTCATTAATAATAATATTAATAAAACATTTTTTCATATTAATGAAAAAAATGACAAAGTCTTATTGGTCTCAATGTCTGTCCCTGAAAGATCATGACACGCAATCGGCAAGAAGGACTACAACTCCATCAAACGGCACTGAACGACTGATATTCGTTATCCGACTTGTGTTTGTAACGGGTGCACCATGAACGCAAATCGGCACTCTGTTAACCTTGCCTGTTTTTCGCCTGCATAGGCAATGCTGCCTTTTTATTCATCTGATTTCCTCAAGTAGCGACTCAACTGACAGACAAGGTGACTTCTTCAAGTTCTTCGGAGTTCGACATCCATTCATATCAGGAAAAGGCATACTTGCTGCAATCGTTAGCGACTCGGATGCTTAAATCTGGAGTTTTCTGGACCTAATGCTGTCCAAACTTGTACATAACGTCGTCGTCCCTCTGTAAAATCTGTAACTTGCCGTTTTAATTATGAGCTGAGCACGATTACCTGTGGCGATGGGGAAATATTTGTTCATTTTATTTTCGTCCTCCAAATTCAAACGATTAATTTCATTCAGATTGAGACTACACAGCGAGATGCAACAACCCAAGAAGGCTTGGCGTCATGAGTGTCATTAATAAACATACAGCGTGTTTCGGCAGCGGCCGCTCCAAAGACGCACATCGACGCACTGTTGACCAAACAGCTTCGTCATTAGGTCGTCCCAGCGCGTTGGAGGACATATGTTGCCGATGGAGTCAGTACAGTCAGTAACTCGGAGTGTCCTGTCGGCCTTCAGAGGAGTCACATGACTAGCCCATCCTCTCTTCGAGTTGTAGGCGCCGGTGAATACGTCGAAAAATCGTATCCCATACCGAACTGTTGCACTTGGAATATGGTCTTGAAGACAGCCCTCGCGTATTATTCTTTCCATCGTTCTTCCCGTTTTACTAATAGTTTCTTTTCCACAGCCTTGGTGGAAGACTAGCACTCCGCACCGTAAATTATGGCAGACAGGATGACGGAGTCAAACAGTTATTTTTCTGTGGACATGACGAGGGCAATGCATTATCCATCATTATACATATAATGGCCGGTGTTTCTAGACCTCCTTAAATAAATGATGAAACTAGCCGATTCCTCCCTTTGACTGACTAACCTACCGACTTATCAAAAACATTCAAAATGTACCGATTAAAGCTACACCCTGGCAACAAAACAGAGCTCCTCATCCATAAACTGGGGGTACCTTCGCCAGGCTTGATCCTACTCACAGGTGACTCTCCACTTTGGGATGCAAGACGGTGCTCCGGATTCAACAGTGGTAGCGCACTCCCTGACACCGAATTAAACTATTTGAATAAAAAATTAAAAATCTGTTTAAATAAACAAATGTAGGCAAAATTTTATCCAAAACCAGAGCTTAAATCCCCTTGAAAAGTGTTTCTTTTGGAGTCTTGTAGCACATCTTGCTGTAAATTTCTAAGCTTGTTTGCATTTGTATTGAGCAATGCATTGAGCTGATTATGAGGCCTGACTATCAGTCAGTTGGTTAGTTCGGTTCATTGGGTCGATCAGTTAGTCATTCAGTCTGCCAATCAATCAACCGGCAGTCTCTCAGTTTCGGATTTTTCTTGCACTAGCAGCTTCATGCGTTGCCGCTAACAAAAGTTTCTCCGACTGACCGCCTGAGCATTGGCAAACGGTACAAATTCCCGAGCAAGATTCACTGGTACATCTACATCGACTCATTCTGAACGTTGTTCAGCGTCTTCTGTCTTAAGGGCGAACAAAAGTTAGCAGCTGGGTCATATGGACTTTAACGGCATTCCCAGGACACACACGTACTGTAGTGGTATGGCGACTTTTTCGATCTCAGTTGATGTCAGGTTCTTTGTGCTCATAAACTGCAGGGTCAGCGACAAAAATAAAATGCATAAACGTTTGCTAGCTTTTTTTACACGAAGCCTAATCCCAATTTCGTATTCCAGCGCCACTTGTACAGTAAGAAAGCAAGATCTGGGAAAAAGACCGCTATGATACTAATTGGTCCACTGAAGCGACTAAGAAAGAACTATTCCCTCCCAGATTCTAATTGACTCACTCACGCACGACTGGGATCAATCTGACGGCGAAGCATCGAGTCCTGCAGGTCGCCATCCATTCCTTCCTGGTTTATATATGTGAGAGTTGGCCTCAAGAGTCGAAGACGTGAGGAAACTAGAGTTCTTATACAAGCGGTGTTTATGAGAACACGATTTATCGACCTTATATCCTACATGACATCCCGCATCTGTTACAAGATCTGCTCTCTATTGTCTTGAGAGAGCGGCGACTGCGTTGGCTGGTGGACGTACTGAGACCTCAACCAGATGGAGGTCACCGCCATTGGGCCGAAAGCCACCCAGATCCAC